CGGCCAGAGAAATGAAAGTTTAAGTTTAAGTTACCGATCAGATATCGGTTTATGATTATCCATATTCGTTACTCACCCCCATGAGTTTCAGTTTCAGGTAACAGGTTAACGAGAAGGTGTGAGAAGAGCTGTGTGGTGTGGATCGTGGAAGAAAATGAAGACAAGCTTTAATGTGGACATTTATAGAGTTGTATAATTAACCACGTTTCAAATATTTCTGCTACGCACATTAATTATTAAACTTGCATTTTAATGAATTTTAGATTTCAATTTTTTTATGAGAAATATGATGATAATATGTTAAATGCAAGTTTAAAGGAAATCTGTTTTAATAAGTCTAAAGAAGTATTAGACAACAGTTTAAAGATAAACGGATTTTCAAGAAGACGAGTTTCGTAGCATCCCGAGTAAGTGCAATTATTTCGAAAAAGTTAAAGTGATATCGAAGTAAAAGGTTGCGAAAAAGTTACTCTGATAAACGGGGTGTTACAGCATCAGCCTAGCTTTAGACTGGCCTAGGAAGATGGATTCTAGGGCTTGCCAAATCTCCTGAGATGTGTTCATGTAAACCATCATCATGAGTAAATTTTCAGAGAGTGAGGACAAGAGCCATGAGGCAAGAAGCTGATCTTGCCTCATCCATGAGATAAAATATGGATTCACTTGGATCTGTGAAGTTTCTTCAGAGATGACGGTCTGAGGTGGAGCTGAGCTTTCTTTGCGGATAAAACTTTCCAGACCATAGCCTTTATTAGCTGTGAACGCATGTTGCTTCTATAGAAGATAATTGCTATCTGTGAGTTTGATAGGTACCAACTGATGATGTGGTTGGATGAGGCTAAGTTGTGTGGCTGTGTTTAAAGGAGGAATATTTGTGTGGCTCGATGAATTTGCCATTTTTTATCAAGTACATAACTAACGACAAAAAGCAATAAATAAAGGAAGCCGTTTTTGATAAATCAGGCTCAAGTTATGAACCCGAGCTCTGATACCATGTTGGAAAAGTAGTAGCAAGAACAAATTAATGAACAAACATACAATCAAGCAATGTGGAAGATGAATACGGTAAGCTCTTGAATTGTGTGTTGCGGCTCTTAATGCTACCTTAAATAGAGACCTAGCTGCAACTTAACTCTAACAAACTACCAAAGAGAGAAAGGCACGTGGCCAGCCTAATCCTGCAACCATAGTACAAACAGAAAGAGAGACTACAGGTCATTCATGGACAACTCATGCATGCAACCAAAATACATTAAAACAAAGTTATAATGCTAAGATGTTATTTGCCATGTTTTGTTACTCTCATAGTATTCTTTATATAATGATAGCTAGGTTTACTCACTGTCGTGTTGAAATTTTCTATATAGAGAAGAACAATTAATCAATTTTCTCCATAGAACTTTTTCAGTAGAGAGAATAATTAAATCATTCGTCAAGATTTTTAACGAGATAATACATTTATAACACTGTTCGAGTAAATTTAAAAACTATTGATCAGTCATGCAATGATAAAAATCTAAAAGAATAAAAAGGAAATCTATTTCTATATAATAAGGATAAGGATTTACCTAAATTAGTAAGTAAAATTTCACCTAAACATTTAAAATTTACTAAATTTAGAAATTTCTAAAATAATTTAAAGATTGAAATTTAAAATAAAAATAAATGTAGATTTTATTTCCTTCTTCACATGGAATTAGTTAAAGTAACTATTTTTTTATTTTATCCCGAACTTTTGGGAACATAGAACTTTTTTTATTATTGTAGATAGTGTTATAAAATTAATTCAATATCATTTTATTATATATAAAAAAAATTATTTCATTTTTTAGACAGTGTTTCAATTTTGATTCCAATATCATCAGTTACAAATTTCCAAATATGTGATGTATGAGTCTTCACTTTTATCATAATTCCTAAATTCTTTTTATAATTTTATAATGTTTATGATATCTTACCTTTTTTCTTTTAATTTTTTTCTTTTTTTTTTTTTNCGCACTATCCATATTGATGCTTTATTTTTTTTTTTTAATATTAAAATAGAAATCAACGCACCTATGAATATCTATATCTATTAATATAAATTGGGACTGAAGATTTACTATATATAGTTAGAAAATATCAACCTACATTTTTTATTTTACTAAAATATAGGAATTCCAAAAAAAAAAATTATCAATTTGTTCAATTCCATGCGGATGTGATATTTTTTTAAACCTTCAACGTATACGATTAACTATTGAGTTGTCCATATTACATGTACGTCATTTTTCTATTTATTGAAAAATTACTACATGATAAGTTTTAATTTGGTTCTTCTATGTATGTGCGTTATATGTTTATGTTCAACTTTCACATATTTTGATTTTGGTTAATCCATACAATTTTTTTTTTATCCACATACAATCTTTTTAACTTCGATGATATTACATAATAGAATTCGTGTACATATTTTTAAGTGAAAATCGAGGTAAAGAAGAATAAGATATGTTTTTTGAAATTTCGTTCTCAAAACTTCACAATATTTGTTAATTTATTATCTAACAAATTTATAAACAAATGCAGACAACTACTCCCTTTTTTGAGATGCATAGCATTTTAAATTAATTCAAATTTAGTATTCTTAATAGGTAACTAAAATAATTAAATTATAAAATCTCATTAATATATATTTTTTATTCCAATTCTTGCTGACTTTTCTTCATGCTTAAAGTAAGTGATATATTTAAAATTTAAGACAATTAATAAATGAATGAGAAATTTAAATTAGAGAATACTTTTAAATTTGTGTTTGATATCAAAAAAATATACATACCAATATTTTGTGTTTATACCTTGAAAGGATACGTACAAAATAACCTTAGAATCAGTATTAGGTTTATTCAACTGCTTAATATGTTTATTTAGTCCAACATTTAATTTTTAAAAATAACTTGGTATGATTTTTTAGTCCAACATTTAATTTTAAGAAATAACTTTAATATGTTTGTTTAGTCCAACATTTTACTTTAGAAAATATCTTTAATATTTTTCTAGTGTATCGCACATGATATGCACTAGTAAAAAATATATACGAGATAGATAAAATAATTAAAGTATAAAACCAACGAAAATAAATATTCCTAAATAATGTATAAATATATAATTTAAGGAGATTTGAAAGTTATATTAGGTAAGATCTGAATTGCTAAATTTATTTTTGTTTTCTACTATTTGTAGTGTGCAATAATAGTGCTCCACAATAGATTTACTCTCTTTTATGTAAGGAAATTTGTGTTTATGTCTACTTACAAATGATATCCATGTACAATTAACAAAATTTCTAGCCTTGATTCTGATGCATATTACAAGAAATTCTAAAACAAATACTTTTCCGTTCAATGAAATAGCCCAAATCTCATGATGGTGAAGCTTCTCTATTCGATAACAAAATCTCTACTACATAAACGTTAGTTTCCTTTGAAATAAAAGGAGCAACAACAATTACAAACCCAAACAATTATTCACACGACTAATTATATTCATGGGCTCATTTTTTTAAAAGCTCGCTTACACAAAATTCCATAATTGTTACATAAAGTTGAAATTTCACGTAACTTCGCCGAACGAAATAATCACTAGCACAATTGTGAATTCGTCGCACTCACAATGACCGCACCCATTCTCAACATTCCAATTAAACCACTTGGATAAAATTAATAACATAATAAAATTACAAATCATGTTTAATGTGAAGAAAATATCATTGCCAAACCCTATACAATTCCTCCTATAAATAGCCACCCTTTTGCATGGCCACAAACCACTAAAAGCTCCCAATACCCTAATTCTCACTGAAGTCTAAACCATCCATTTCTTCCTAATTCCCCATGGCTTCATCATCCCACCAAAACAACCCTCCTCATGACAACAACGACAAAAACAATAACAATGACGAAGATTACAATAACAACCCTTACGAAAACTATCCTCCCGAAAATTCCAAGCGCAAGAAGGGAAAAGGTCGGAAGAAGGTGGCCTTAGCTCGCATCGAAAACGATACGAGCCGTCAGGTTACCTTCTCGAAGAGGCGTAACGGCCTCTTCAAGAAGGCGAGCGAGCTCAGCACTCTCTGTGGGGCTGAAGCTGCCGTCATCGTCTTTTCCCCTGCTGGAAAGGCCCACTCCTTCGGCAGCCCTTCTGTCGACGCCATCACTAACCGTTTTCTCGACCAAATGAACTTTTACCCAGAAAACGCGCCCCTTCCGCCTCTACCCCCACCACCACCACAGAACCCTGTCATGCTCCACCAAAACCGTGAGCTCAACGAGCTCGAGGAGCAGTTGAACGCCCAAAAAAAGTCACTTAACCAAGATGAGGGCAACGAGACGATGAACATCGACAAGCTCGACTACAAAGGTCTCGACAAGCTCAAGAACTCTATACAAGGTATGAAGAAAGTCTTGAATGTGATCAAGTCGAAAAATAGGGGGAATCTCTCTGCAAACTCTCACCAAGTTGACCCGCATCCCGCAGAAGGGGATGGAGGGGTCTTCCCACAAGTGATGGCCCCCGGAGGTGGGCCGGGATTGGGTTTTCCAATGATGGACCCCAATATCCAAATACCAAACTATGGTGGCCCACCTCCTCTGGGTGGGTCCTCGGGCTACGTGAGCAACCCTGGCATGTCATTCTTTCCATACATGTTCGACCCTTACCCTAATCCTAACCTTAACCCTAACCCTAATCTTGGGTTTGTGGACCCATTTAATCCTGTTCTGGGTCAGGGTTTTGGGGTCCCCTTCCAATTTCCTCTATTGGAGGGCAGCTCAAACATTGTCATCGGGCAACAGCCTCACCCTGGCCAGGATATGGTGCACCTGAGGGAACAAGGAGAGGGATCCAGCAGGGGAAGACAGAACAATAGTGAGGAGAAGTCGAAGGAATTTGGTAGGGATAATCGTGGTCGTGGTCGTGGTCGTGGTCCAGGACAATAATTGGATCATAAGTTATATAAGGCTAATTGGAATTTAAGTTTGTTATGTTAGGTTTCTTTAATGTGTTGCATTGTTCGTTGTTTGTCTTCTTTCCTTGTTAGGGTCCGGTAATTTGTCGTGTCTGTCCATCTAGGTTTCTCGATCTAGAATGTCTTGTCGTGTCGTGTTAGGTTTTATAACTTGATCAATGATCGAGTTAACTATTTATCGTTTTCTATGTCCTTCGAGATATGGAGTGTGATCTTTATTGTTACTGTCATTTAATAAAATTGGCCTTATAATTTGAAATAAGTTTTGATATTGTATTGTTTTACAACCAGATGACATTATAAAACATGCTGGAATCAGATATCGATGTCCGCGCCTTATAACGATGTTACCAACCACACTCGTCGTGGTAAATTTTAAGTAACTTTAATGATAAGTTAACTTTTACAACAAAATGAAAGAATGGCTGACGTCTTAGGATATTATTAGTACGAACTATCAAAGTCATAATTATTACAAAATCAAACATTATATATAGTTATATTTCAACTCTTATGCTATGAAATCGTACTTTAAACTGAAAGTACAATTTCATGAGTCAAATAGTTATAGAAATATGAAACGTTGTCACCAATAAAACATTGATTATTTATACTTGTGATGAAGCAAGGAGTTTAAACAAACTTATAATGAAAACTATCAAACTTTTATTGTATATTTCTAATTGTATGTATATAAATATGCCAAAAGTGAAAGTAAAGAGATATCAAAGTTCATATAGCAAAAAATATCAAATATAATGAAATAACATCGAGCAAAAAATGTTTTCATTCATTTCCAAAGTCGATCATATGTTGATCGAACAGAAATCTTCATAGCCATGGAACCTTGGCATATACATTCTTTCGAATTTTTCCAATAATGTCGACAAATTTGATCGCATAGTTTAATTTATCGATCACCACGTGTAGGACATGCATGTACGAACCATTAATTTATAGGGAAAATTTCAAAACTAGTCCCACAGGTATAGGGGGGTGACAATTTTAGTCCCGACGGAATGCAGAAAATATGAATAGTCCCACAACTTTTAAAAAATGATCAAAAGTAGGACTTTTTCTCCGGATTTACTATTTCCGGCCCGGAACGCCACGTGGCATCCGACGTGTTCATATTTTTTTACAAGTTGTGGGACTAGTTTTGAATTTTCTGCATTCCATCGGGACAAAAAATGTCACTCCTCTATACTTGTGAGACTAGTTTTGAATTTTTTCCTATCTAGGAAAAAATTCAAAACTAAGCCACGTGTGCGCCAGCGTGTAAAAAATAAGCCACGTGTGCGCCACGTGGTGTTCTGGGCCAAATAGTAAATCCGGCGAAAAAGTCCTACTTTTGATTATTTTTTAAAAGCTGTGGGACTATTTATATTTAGTGCATTCCGTCAGGACCAAAATTGTCACCCCCCTATATCTGTGGGACTAATTTTGAATTTTTCCCTTAATTTATATGTCCAAAGTTTATAATCCAAAAGTAACTAGATAATCCTTCACTTTTAAACATATAAACAGCGATCTATTAGTTTTCATAATGCGTCTGATTAAGAAATTTCTGAAAGCTTTACCTCACAAATAACTTAATTATCTAATTTTCATTAACGTTTTCTGAATGGTGCTTAATATTTTGTAGTTAATACTGAAGATTTAGAATATGTTGATTTATCTAAGTATGGTTTGATATCAAAAGTTGTGGAAATGGATATTATCAAATAACGTTATATTTAGACTCACAAGATTTTGGTGTTGGTGATGAGGGAGGTGCTTATATATTTATATTTACGTTGTTCTTCCCTTAAAAATTGTTTAGAAATAATTCTTTATTATTATTCAATAATAATGCATGAGTGAAAGAGTATACAATCGACCCGAATAAAGTCGTTTTACAATCTCAAGCTATTCTTCTTTTGTAAAATGTATGTAGCCATCATTATGAATAATTAATGTTTTAATAAATTTTTCAATATTAGCAAATATTTCCTTCTTCGATCTTTAAATTAGAAGTTATCTATCATCTCATTTCTCCAAACTATGAAAATTAGTTACCATGTAAGTAACATGTATTACAATTCTTAAAAAAGGCAGAGAGATGAGTCGAGCATCTATAATTTTAATGACAATAAATCCAATTAAATAATATTTTATAATATTTGTGTATGTTGAGAAGTGATTTATTCAAATTTTTTATTATAATTTGAAATAGTTTCTTTGAACGTTAATTATGGGTGATTTTAAAAGTGGGTATTGGCCAAATTAGTATAGTAAAACGATAAAATGTTCGAGAAGATGAANGTTTACAAATGGAGCAACTTGTTATTTATAGTAACAATATATTTATTTTCCTTTATGATTTACGCCACGTGGAGCAACTTGTTAGTAACAATATTAGTACAGATTTATTTTCCTTTATGATTTATAGTAACAGTATTTTTTTTTTCATTATTGTCCATAATTAGATTATATATAGTAATAATTTATGAATCACCACATGCAAGACATGCAAGTACTAACCATATATATTTTTAATTATTAGCAAGAGTATCGGTAATAACATAAATCTTAATGTTTATAACATAAGAGATAATATAATTTGGTCTTAAGTATTCACATATGATTGTGAAATAAAGGAAATTTTGACCATACAATGACCTACTTATCACATTCTTTCTAACATTTATCTCATTCTTATTGACATTACTTAAACACGTCTAATTAAGAAAAGAAAATTTTATGTCACGGATGACATAATTTCCACATTCTTGTTAATATTATTTGAATCTAATAAAGGAAATGACCCCATGAGCAATAATAAGTTCATGCAAAAAGTTTATCACTTAGCGCAGGTTGGATATATGCATGCCTACTCCAGTTTGCATGCACATGGTCGCACGAGTTGTTCTTGAATTGTAATTAAAATCAATTTTTTCTTGTTGAGCATAGTTTAGTAACTAATATTTAACTGAGTAATTGCAAGATCAGGTCGTCTCTCAAAATTGAAATCAAATTTGGGCAATGCAATTATTCACACAAAAAGGGAAAATAAAGGTTCTAAACACTCTCGTCGCAATTGATTTTTTACGCTAATGTGAACACAATTGAAAGCTACAATGAAATCAAGACGCAAACTCTACCGCATGTAAATCCTCAATTCGCAATAAAAGAGATTAAAGAAAAAAAGACTAAGAACCCTAAGACCCTAGGTAGATGAAAGACACTCAAAGGTTCGGAAACATGTAATCAAGCAATCGTCACTCGCAATGAACTAGTCGAACTCCCAATCAATTTCCACTTAAACAATCAGCAACAAAATCACATAATTTATATCCTTCGAGGATGATAGTCTACTCTAATCTTAAATTCATCAAGACAAGAAAAATTTATGGGATCTTGAGCCTTGAATTAAGTCTCCAGTCTCTAGTAACATCCACGAGAAAAATAGATTGGAAAGTTGCAATCGTGAGGGAAAAGTAGAATACCTTGGAGCCCTTAGTTTCGAAAGAGAGAAAATTAAAAAGTGAGAGAGATAAACTAAAAATAGAAATTTAGCAAATAAGGAATTCTCCATGAGAATGTAAAGGACAAAATGTTTATAAAACCTAGGCAAAACACACACTACAGTTAATGAGCGAAACTCGCAGGCGCCAGGGTAGAATAACTCGCGGGGCAATCTGGGCTTTTCATAGGCTACAAATTTCTGAATGTCAACATACTAGAAGAGCAAAACTCACGAGCTCGGCCAATATTTTCGCATGCCGCACTTTTCGCAAAACCCGTGCCAATTGTTTCGTGTGCTTGCAAATTCCTTTCTAGGTCGCCAATTCTGTGGCTTTTTTACGTTGTCCAAAATGCTCAATATCAACATACACTCCTCCGAATGTCTTCAAATCTTGACTCAAGCTTATCAAATCTTTTCTTCTCGTCTTGGACGACACAAATAAAATATCTCCACACATTTTTGGACTGAAAAATAGAAGCTCGGGACGGCAAATCTCTCAATAAGTTTTTCTTCCTTCCTGGCCTAGAAAAACACCAAAACATACAAGACAAACCGAAAATACACTAATATGGCTCAAAAGCTAAATATTACGAAAACGTACAAAAATGGACAGGAGAACACAATTAGGGCAAAAAATGGCTCGACTTACCACATTAAAAACACAAAAACATACAAAACAACTCCCCCACACTTAGCTATTTGTTTGTCCTCAAGCAAACAAAATCACTAAGAGTTCGAAAAGATCAATTGGCTATTTGTTTTAAACGTCCCAATAGATCCTCAACTCATTTTATCTCAGAATTCTTGTAACGCCCACTTCTGATTTAAGTAAATACCAATATTTTCCAGTAAATTTAATTTTTTCTGAAATGTGAACATTCTTTTTCGTGGGTCATCACTCATAATGACTCTTTCTATCTGAAAATACCAACTCTTATCTTATTTGGGGCTCTCAAAATGACTCAAGACAGAAAATAAACTCAACAGTAATGCATAAGGTCTCAAACGGTTCAATGTCATAATTCCTCAAATTCAAACATGCAATGTCTCAACTTTAAAATAATACTGAAACTGAAACTAGTCAATAAATGTCTGAAAAATAAATGACTGAAACATATGACTGATAACCACGCCGCGTCGCCTATTCAGCTGCTTAACCTGAAAGGTTGGTATGGGGATGAGTATAATAATAATCAACGTGCTAACCTGGAGTATATATAGTCCGGACATTGGAATTATACAAAAGATACAATTGTAAGCACATATAATACATAAAAAATGGTTTCAAATAAAGTTCTGACAACCAAATGAGTACTGCCCCTAAGGCGCATATAAAATTCTGACAACCATCGGGGTACTGCCCCTCAGGCACATCTGTTATCTACTTAGCCCATCGGAGTACTGCCCTCAGGGTACTAGCTAATACTAAAAACATAGTTGTTCAT